CATAATTTTATCCACAGAAATTAGTTTCTTTCTGGTTTATTATTAAAGTATTGATTCTTATCATGCTGACCTGTTTCACAATCCGCTTTTCTGTGCTGCCCCATCTTTCTGCTGTGTCATTCTGTTGGCTGAAAACAGACCTTTGGAGAAATTTCTGTTCTCTGTTTGAATGCTTTCTACCACAATAGGATCTCAGTGCTTTAGTGTAGTTTGCAGGCACCACAAGAAAAATAGTAAATAATGATAATCATAATTACAGCCATCACAATTCCAAGATGGCTAGCACTTTGTCACGCAACTCCAGGAGTGTCAACTTTTCCTTGATTCTTTGCAAGATCCTACGGTGTGTACAACTGAGAGGGGAAAAATATCTCAATCCTGATTAAGACCTGAAGTGTTATCACACAATAAATACAGGACATCTGGGTGAAATGTTGAAAAAGTCTCATAGCCTCACTTATTTAGAATAGCTGCAGTTACACGATATGGTTAGCAGCCTCAATCTGGTATAGTAATGCCTTACTGCAGCTATGAAATATTGATCCCTCTTGCTGTTTGAAAGAACAAGCCCATATAATCCCAACACTGTCCTATAACCAGTACATTTCTCTGCAGTGCTTGTATTTCTAAGCAGCAAATTCTTTCCATGTCCCAAATGCTGTGTTTATTTAAATTATCACAACGGTATACACTAAAAGTGGCTAATGAGAGCCTTCTTAGATTTTGTACACTTTAAACTGGTATGACTTAGATTGACATGAAGTGGTCTATAAAGTTCATATTCTATATATAATAATAAAGTAAAACTTTACAGCTTAGGTCCTGAAAAGCCAGTGTGGCTCTACTCATGTAATTAATTTCAAAACAAGCAAGCTGGGGAAAATAATCACTGTAGCTTGTTTCCTGTTGAAGATACCTGTAGGTTTATATATTAAAAGTTAGCCACATATTTAATTCATTGTCTGGCTTTACCCCCATCACCTTTTTTTTTGGCAATGGGGAGAAAGGAGTTAGATAAGGACAGTAAAAGCCTGCTGTGTTGCTCTTTGTGTCAGCTAGGCAATGGAGAAGACAAAGTACAAAAAATTGAACATGGGTCTGACGATGAATTGCACTTAACCAAGCAAACAGAGCTATAGTGGTAATTACCCCAGCCTAACCGACATCCCTAAAAATTCATGACATATCTCTAGAATCATTTCAAGGAAATGCCGTTGCCAAGGTCTCATTTTCAAATAGGGATAAAAAATAAGGTTGGGGGAAAAAAGGGGCAAAAAGGTAGAAGTAGGGAAGACTGCTGTATTTTCTTCAACGACACCCTAATCTCCGTGGGTGTAAACGATGAGAAACTTGTGGGTATGACGTCACTGCTACATGCAACATAAAGAAAGAAAAGAACCAAAATACTGAACAAAAATACTCTCTGCTAGAGAAAGACAGGTTGGACCGCACTCTGGGCTACAGGGAACCCATTTTTACTCACAATAGATCACTATCAGTGTGCAGTTAAAATATAGTAGGGGCCGTGTTCCAAGGCAGCAAGAGGAAAAATAAATCAAAAGTTTGTCAATTGTCATAGATTACAAGAAATTCCTTCAAACACATCAATGTACACATGATATGTCCCCTCTGGGGTTCAACCCCCACCGTTCACAGCAAGCACTGTCACTGGAAAAAATATATAGAGAATTAGACCATAGCTGTTGCACAAAATGAAAGAAACAGAAGTAGGAGGTCATCCAGTTTAGAGATTTCATCCCAACATGGCTGTGTTTTATATAAATATATACATGTATTTGGCCCCTTGCTGCAAAAACTACAGTTAAGTAGAATAGGAAAGAGATTGAAAACATTAAAAAAAAAAAATTAATAATCTGTGAATAAAATTTCCACATAAGCATTTCTCTGGACATTGTGCCATCAGCATTCATATGTTACTCAGGGAGTGGGATGGGTAAGGAGAAAGGGATGGCAAAGAAACTGCAAAAGGAAAGCGAGGTTACTGTAATTATCCCTGGCCTTGTGGAAACGTACTGATCTGCCCTGAATTATTAATATTAGGCCTAACAGGTTTGGACAAATGGCTATGTAGGTCAGACTCACATTTAGACCCCAACAATGACCCCACAAGCTAATGTTCAGACAGTACCTAAATTGATGTGCTACCTCAGATGCATTATTTAAAGAGTGTGGTTTTCAAATGTCACAGGAAGCTGCATTAATTAATGCCACCATAATTAAGTTTTCCATGTAAAGATATTCTTTCACATTTAATTCACCTAAATGTGTCAATCTTTTTACATACAACCTTTCATTTCATCTTACATATTTTCTGCATTCAGCTGCCTATAATTGCGATGTTACTTGCTAATTAAAATATGTATTTATCATATAGGACTACATATATGCATGTGTGACTATTTGCAGTGTCTTTGAAAGTCAAATTGACATATTAGCTGTTGACAGATCAGTTGACAGTTTCCTAATTCAATAACGCTTCGTTTTGGTTACACTGCATTTTTAAGACCAATGATTTGTGTAGCTTACAGATGGATAACATAGTTAAGATTTTCAAAAGTGATTAGTGATTTGAAAGCTAAAGCTAAGATATTTTACATGAATGATAGACTGCACTAAAGACTTACCTTTAAAAAAAAATCAGGTCCCATAACAGGGATCTCAAGATTGTCATCAGAATTTGAGAGACCAAAAATCACTAATTACTGTTGAAATTTTTCATTTACATTTTTTGCTGATTGACAGAACTTTAAAGCAAAGCAATTGTATTATTCCTAATAGTTGTGAGCATGCTCCTAAGCGGAAGCTGTTCTCAGCTGTACTGACAGCTGCCAGCTATCACGGTATCTGTGACCATATGCCTGTGTATGTAGGAAAGGAGGGGGGAGAGGGCAAATGAGGGGAGAGGGAGAGGGGAGACAACGAAAGGGAAATTTAAGATTTTACTCTTACTGACCATTTTTTTTTTTCTTTTTCACCTGACTCAGAGGATTCCCTCCTTACTGTTCAGTCCTCACCGCAGCAGCTCTGACAGCCGCCTTCTTCAGCCTCACTAACCCTATCATTTTGTTTCTTCATCTGTCCAACACCCTTTCATTTATTGGACTGATACGTGTGACCATGCCATTCGGAACATTTCCTAGTGCTACACACAGAAGTTGTCACTCTCCCCTCTCCATGGCCCTACTGCTGGTAATATACCCATTGTGTTGGTTGGGTCACAGGATACTCTGTTTTCTCCCTGGTTTCCTAGTACTGAGGAAGTTACATTGATTTTCATTCATGTAAAATAATAAAGGGCTCTTGCCCTTTATACTGTAAATTCCTGATTCCTATCTTCTAACAGATTTCAATGAGAAGCATAGATCTCACATTAAAATGATAGGTCTTTGGGAATTTTTTTTTTTAATCAGCACATGTGTGAAAAGCATACACTATGTGAAGGAGGAGTAGAGAAGAAAATACAAATAAAATCGGTCTTTTTTGACAGAATCTGATAAAATTAAACAGGTAACATATTTCTCTTTAACTGTTGGGTAATTTGGAAAAAAGATTGGGTTTGAGAGTTACAGGCACCCTGAGGCATCTGTAACTGGCTTTACCAGAACTTACTCAGCAGCCTCATTGGCTTTGGCAGCAGTTCAGAGGTCACATTCTCACATGGATAAACTGTTCTTGAACAATTTTTTTCCAATATGTTAGGCAATGCATACATTCCTTCCACATCAGGCATGTTTTCCACGTGCTTTGCTCTCCTTGTGGCTACTGGGAGGATAAATACCATTTTCTGTCAGTGTTTCAGCTGCTTTCTCTCAATTATACTACTTTGTTCCACACTCCTGTTTCTTGCAGGGAGAGGAGTTTCTTTAAAAACTCCATTGACATATTTTTTCTTTTTAAAATCATCTTCAAGAATTCATCAATTTCAGGCACCCCTTAAAGGCAGAGAAGGTCCAGTTTAGGCTTTCTTCCATCCTCTAAGACAGTGCAGTGATAACACTATGACTGGATATAAATAAGAGAGTTTTTTCCCTTTTGAAAGTAATGATAAAATAGACATGATAAAACTCTTCTGAGATCTTTCAATTTACCTAATCAGTACTTTTGAACTGAATGATCTTTTTCATGGCATAATACCACAGAATGCACATAAATATTCAGATATCCATTGAGAAATGGATCCCTAAATCCTTTTGATATCAGTATTACAAATATGCATACATCAAAGACATCTTTGTGGTTGTGATAGTTCCTGCAAAAAGTCCTTTCAAAGTATACATAGATAAAATGTTAATTTCTATATATTTACAAAAACATAGATGCAAAGTCTGATCCCAATTCCAAAATTCAATTATTTCTTCCTGCAAAATTTTCCAAACAATTTAAAAAGCAGACCTAAGAATGTAACTTAACCAAATATTAGCATTACAGATATGGAATCTTCTAAAAGGATATATGTAAGAGGCACTAATATGTATTTTCTTCCAGACAATCCTTTCCTCCTGTAAAATTGATCATTTATTTCAATAATAATTTATTTCAATAGTTATATGATGGAATATTATTCCCTAGTTTCTTCTTTTATAGAACCATGTTCAGCAAGATAGACAAAAGTTCTTTACTTTACAGAAAACTGTTGAAATTACTGGATTTCTGCATGGTATGAATGAAAGCAGAACTTCACTGTTAGCTCATTTTTAACTCAGAAACCTCCACAATTAGATGTAACTTGATTTAATTCTTCAGGTCTTAGCTTTGGACCATAACGGACTTTTTAATGAAGGAACAGGTGTGAGTGGTGTGAGATGTAATAAAAATATATGGACTTCAGAAATGCAAATGGCACTTACTATGTTGCTGTGCATTTATTTCTTAGCTTTTCTGTATCACTGTGTAAAACATGTAAACGCATGTACAAATATTCTTCAAGGACGCATAGTTCATGAAAAGGAGAGGAAGGGAGCAATAGAAATATTACTTACGCCGTTTGCAGCCACATTTTTTTATCCTTTTGGGATCCGTGATGTCATCATGACAGGCCTTGCAGTAAAAAAATGCCCTAGAGAGACAGAATGGAAAAACTGACACATTTCTTAATCCATACAAATGAAATTAGGCCCACATTTCCTCTTGTTGCAGTGCCAAATTAATGAAACATGCCAGCACTGATTTCCTTTAATCTTTGAAAAGGTTTAGACATTTAAAGTAGGAAATATTTGCTGCAAGACCATTAATTTCAAACATAAGACTCCAAATTAGTGTTTCTTTTAATATACTTTTATTTGAAAAGTAATTGGGAGAAGGGATGATAATTATGACACAGTGTATCAGTTCATTTGTCTTTCATCTTGGAAAAAAGAGCATCCAATGAATTTTGTCACGAAAATATATATATAATGAATTCTCTGTTTTTATTGGATATATCAGATTCTTTTTTTTTTTTTTTTTTTTTTTTTTAAAAAAAAAGACTGTCTAGCACCCTGGGCTAATTTTTCAGCCTGGTCACAAGTAGGACTTCATTTTGAATACAGTGAGAGATTGCAATGAGATCAATGTGACAATAACATCAGATATGCTATTTACAAAAACAACCCCAACCAAAACCAGAAAGGGAAAATCCTATCAAAATAAGTTCCTAAAGGAACATATAAATGAAAGAACTGAAATAATCTTGATTCAGACTATTTTTTTGTCTTTTATATAGGAACAGAGCGGAACCATTTTGGTTTTGAACAGACAAAAGCCAAAATTTCAAACAAAAATACACAATTAACAAAGTGAACCATCTAGGTTTCCATTTAATGCTTTTGGTTATGAACTTCTACTCTTGTATCAAATGGCTCGCCACTAGGTGAAGAACAAGGAGAACTACGGAAGTGAGAAAGGGTAAACATTTGACTTTATAGAAGATTAAAACAAAATTCCAATTTAATAAATATGCATCAGACTGCCCATAGGAGAGTTTAATCATGCCTGTCAAGTCAACATGTCACGTAAGGCTACTGTGACACACTTCATGAGAATTATGCAGCTGGCCTCTAGCTGGACAGTTAGAGTTTCCCAGGATTCTTGCTGGCATAACAAATTAAACATACTTTTTAACCTGCTGAAATTTCCCTGTACTTATCCATATTCAGGATATGTCAGCTCCATGCCTATCCTCCCAACCCTCTCTCATTGCATACTTCTCAATACAAATTGGCAGTAAGAACCAAAGGTGCCACTTTGCAACCACTCATGGATTTTGCTGACAGTACGACACACCGCTACAACAGTATGGAGGTCACTGGAACAGAACAATCTACAGTCCAAAATATAAAAAGAAAAAGAAATAATATTAATACACAGCCTCTGTTCAGCTAGGATGACTGCTACTAATTCTTTTTAGATTAATTAGACAGTGTCCACCATAGGTAGAACTATATTAAAGGAAATGTTCAGAAATATGAACTAGATGCTAATTCAAATAGTTACGAATTTATCTAAGTTATTTTACACCTCTGAGTAATGGCCCAAGTAAAGTGGCCCATCAGGAGAAAGGCAGCAGGTCTAGCATATGAGATATGGACCAGAGAATACACATTTAAATTTGCAGTAAGACCTCACTGAATGTTATTAACATTTCTAAAATCAAGATAGCATGCAAGCTACTGATGGAAGATGTAAGTCCTAAATGTAGCAGATGTAACTTCTCTAAGAAACTAACAGGAAGATTACTCTTTCAGACTGTGAAATTTTCTTACTATTTCCAAGAAGCAAGATGTAAAATGAAAAAGCCTTCTCTGAGCATTTGTATACTTTTCTGCAGAAAGTTTCTGGTCTTCAAAATGCTCACCTTCCAACAAAAAGAAAAAAAACTGCCTCCAAGGAAATGAGAATAAAATAGTTTTCAAACTATGAGTCAATGTCAAGACGTAAGCAAGGAGGAGAGAACTGCCTCCAATTTTTACAATTTCTCCCCAATCCAGCTGTAAGCCCCTGTATTGAACAAGAATCCACTATCACAAATATCCCCTCACAAAACTTCATGACACGAATGGGACATAGGTAATTTATACAGATCATGTTTCTGTAGTCCACTGCAGGACAAATGTCCTAAAGAGTACTTTCAATCCTATGTGCAAAGTCAAGAGCAAACCCCTGAAGTGACTGCTGTAATAAAATTATCCTTTTATATAATTGGGTTGAATTAAGTGGATTTGAAGCATGTGGATTTCTGATGTTAGTACATGTAAATGGATAAAGAATAATAAAGATGCAATTCATATAATTTGTATTATATTTAAACACTCAACATTTTACATGAAGCTATTTACCTAGGCATAATTATTTCTAGGTTTAGTGGTTTCTAATGTGAAACTATTGTTCTAAAAATGCAAAAGTAGTTCTAGCAAGAAGAGTAATTGAACATTACATGTTATATTTCATTGTGAAATACATATTTGATAAATATGAATAGCTTTAGCTTAAAGGAGCTGAAACTTCTCCATTAGCATGTAACACAAAACTAGAATAATTTAATTTGAATTTCAGGTATATAACATGTTTAATTTTGCTTTATTAAAAAAAACCAAAAAAACCCACTTCTTTCCCCCTCCAAAAGACCTCAATTTTAGAACACTTTTCTGACTCTGATTCATAGCTCAAAAGGGTGAAATCAACACTTTACATAATTGGTTTTGTTAGTTGAAACACATCCGATAATCATTTGCTTCACACAGAACAGCTAAGAAGCGTGGTAAGGGAGGCAGCATGTTTCTAAACAAAGCCTTCTGCACAAAGCAAGGCAGAATTGGGAATTTTGTTTCAGCTTACTATTAGATAAAATGTGCTAGATGAATGATGTGTAAATTTTCTCTAAACACATTAATAACAGTCAACTTCTCCCTGTTAAAAATGCTATGCCAGGTAATTTTTACTTACAGTCTGAAATAATTTCATAGGAGTGTAAAATGCCTTATAAATGAAAAGAAGCTAGCATCTCAGTAAAGGGATATGAAGACAGTTCTGTATATTCAAATGGAGAAAAGCACCAGAGAGGAAAAGAACTATACGCTAAAAGGCAGCGTACCTGAGGCAATGCTGGATGTAAATACTCCGAAGATGGTGCTAGAAATATCAGAGGACAGGAGCACTGCTGTGCTGTTCTCTATGCTTCACCTAGCCAAAACCTATCCTAGCTATTTCAATGAAAATAGAATTTAAGTTCTCAGTGATTTCACTGTTTTCATGTTTTGACTTTCTTTAAATATTCGTGGCAAACATGCATTGCGTAAATATTCTTTTCACTGTAATTTAATCATAAAAAGTTTAGGACTTAGTAAAGGTTATCACTTGAATATTTCATCATTCTAAGCACAGGATTTAGTTAAAATATCTATCTCAAGAAGAACATCAAGTAAAAATCAGATTCTTGATAGCATGACTTACAACAAAAATACAAGTTATGAGAAAGCACTCAGCTGCAAATATTCCTTTTCTTTTTTTTTTTTTTTAAATCTTACAGACATTGAATAATTATTTATTTTAAAAATTATTTTCTCATTGCTCTTTTATTCCTTCCAAGCATATTATAATCCTAACAAACAAGAGTACACACATTTGGTCCTAAACACAATACCATAAAACCCCTTTTCTTTCAAAACAAATCTAATACAGCCAAGTACAATGAACCAGTGAAGTTGTCTACAATGGTTGGGATACACTGCACTGTTGTGGTTTGATTTATTATTATGAGGACATAGAGTATGTAGTTCTGGTAAAGAAAAATGACAAGAACATAAATATTATTCTGCTAATGCAATTACCAAATGAACACAGTAACTTCCTCACATCAAATATTTGCTAGAGTCTATGTAAATAAGAACTACGCTAAACCTGAAACTCAGAAAAAACTGTAATCCCTGTCCTCTCTCAAAGTAATTAAACCGAGAAATATTAATTATAGAGAAATCAGATCAAAATATTTTACATTTTCTAGTAGGACTCAGTAAAAAAGCCTCTTCATTTCTTTTCACATCTGCTGTAAAATTATTTCATTTCCTTGATATTTAGGACTGTAGTTAAGAAAATGGCATGCACACAATTGGTTGACTAACGTACCAACTCAATTCCTCCTAAGAATCTTTAAACAGATTATAATGAAAATTAGGTGAGGTGTTTACATGTAAAGAAAAAACAGAAATTAAATACTATATGTTTAAATTTAGAGATAAAAATATATGAATTACCTTTTTACTTCTTTGGCATCACTTGCAATGAAGAATCCTAAAGTACCTTCTTGAATCTTGACGTGGTTTCCAGGATTGATTAATATACTGCTCAGTGAAACAAGAACAAAAACAACAAAACCATAAGTTTAAATTACTTTTAACTGAATGTTCCAAATAGCTTTATTTGGTTCTGTTATAGGGGACCCACTAGTTAGGAAAGGCTGCAAGGAAATTTTAAGCCATTCTTCCTTGAAATTTCCAATCAAATAACAGTTTCACATGCTTTTTACAAAAACTTAAGTTTGAGACAGCCACACGCCTCCGCCTATAATCACATCATTTAAGTGTTTACATCTGTTTTCTTATGGTTTTGCATTAAATATAGACTATACAAAATCACAAAGCCTCTCAGAAACATGATGTGTGAAGCTGAGCATTTCAGCTTTCTTGTTCTGTCATGCAAAGTGGTGAAAAATTCACAATACGGTGAAAAGGGAAGAAACAGCAACCACCACTCAATAACAATACAAAATATAATTTATGAAGCTAAACCTTTTGATGCAAATTTTTGCCAATTTCTAGTGAAATAGAATGTTAATGGGACCCCTATCTGGACATATAATATTATTGTTTAAAATAATAAATGCACACATACACTCAAGGGGAATGGTACAAGACAACCAGTCACGATAGCTGAAAAAACATAAAATGAATAGAAAATTTTTAAAACACTGCTATGCAGCAATGGAAGAACAAAAATAACCCAACCACGCTGATAGAATAGCCGCAGCTAAATTTGACAAAGGAAATTATAAACTGCTATCAAGAAGTGAGGTACTTCATGACAGTCTACGAAATATCTTTTTTGTTTTCACAATAATTTAATGCTAGACTTTAGGTAAAGCAATTTGCAAAGTACCAAGCTAAATATGAATATACAGATAGAGATAGATGAAAATATATTCTCCAACAAGTTTTATTAACGTGTAATACAACTAAGCTTTTGACCTGCTAAAACTTAATAAAGCTTGTCAAAAGTTCTCTCTTTTTTGTCTTTTATGAAAGCTTAGCCTTTGTAAGTCAAAATGTAGTAATGGCACACATACGCAATTTACAGTAAATAAAGATTACCACCAATTTAAACGCTTGTGGATTTAGCAAAAATTGATTTTGGGGAAGTGTATATATACAAAAATAAATAAAGCACATTTCTGAACAGACATACATTACTAAAATTTGAAGGCCAAAAATCTTTCATGTTATTGTTAGGAGGGAAAATGGGTCTTGGCCGATCTTTTATTCAAGATGTTATTTATCATCTATACATTAGTAATAAATTAGTGTGACAAAAAATATACCTGAAAGCTTTAAAATAAGCACATAGTTTTGTGTGATTATACACGACCACAAGGCCCTATGAAAAGAATATGCAGGCTGCAAAACAAAGCGCTCATGAGTTAAGCATTAGAAGTTGGTCACGCAGCCGTAATTCAGCTCCCATTATGTAGATGTTATGATACAATTCTTAATTTAATAGCCACAAACTACTTTTTTCTCACAATCTGGAACTTCATTCAGTGGTGTTTTACTGCCATTACTCCAGGCATGGCTTCATGTAGTTTATCTTTCTTTAAAATCAGCATCATATTTTTCTTATGTGTTTTTCTGCAGTGTTCATCACTATAGCATGCAAAAGATTCACAAACACATAATTTATTTTACAAGAAGAATGAAGATATAGTATTATCCCATTTTACAGATGAGAGATTAAGTCACTATGAGATATAGTGGCTATTAATTTGGGATGCCTACAGGCCATTTTTTGAAAGTATTTAGCATTGCATAGCTCCATATACGCCTTCTAGGGACTTTTGCTGTAAGAATGCTCAGCATTTCCAAAAGCCCAGCCTCTGGTCCCCAAAATAATAAACACTTAATCACAAGTCATCTGTAAAAGGTTTGGTTTAAATTATTAGCTCGCTCTCACACAGATATTCTGTGGCAGAGGCTGGAGCAGAAACTAAATCTCAAAGAAGGCATTTACCCAGATATCCTTCCTTTTCCTTCATTCAGTTTCAAGCTTTGCAACAAAAACGAGAACTACAGAAAATGGAAGTCATCACCACAGAAAGCACGTTCATCTCCACAGCACACTTCAGTAATATTGCAAAAAATTAAATGTAATGGTGTAAATAACGCCTTCATTATGCACACAGATAAATGGGATGAATTTAAGTTGCACAGCTAAACTTCATATCTGGTATTTCTTTTGTTAGTGTATTGGGCTTAAAGGTTGCGCTTGCAACCAAAACATTTACCTAATGCAGTTTTAGAACGCAATTTCACAGGTTTTAAAATGGAATAAAACAGAGGAAAAAAACCCAAAAAACCCACAAGAATTTCTTCATACGAAACCAGTCAATCAAGTCACGAACAGGTTGGAAAATTTAGATTCCCTGCACAAACTTTTGTCACTTGAGCCAACCGAGCACTCTACTAGCTATTACAGAGATACCTTAACAGGCCATCACTACTCTACCAGCCTGTGTGAGCCTAGATAAGACACTTCTCAACAACCAGGAGAGAATCTTTCTGCCACTAACTCTCCAAAGTCTTTCTGCCAAAACTTTCTGTCATGTCCGTAACTGCATTCATGTTGCAGTCTCCACCTTTCCTCTTCCCTGTCTGCTAATCCTTAATCTGCCATTATGCTGAGTATTCAGCTGTTAAACTCAAAAATCTTCTACAGATGCTAGTCTCATCTATTTCTACTATACTGTTCCTTCTAAAATATGTGAAGACTTGTAATATGGTTAGAAAAATTGGCTATTTTTATTAGGTACAAATGGGTACTGCTCTCTCAGAAAAATACTTTTTTTGCCCTTATTTCGTCCTTTGCCCTTAATCACAGAAGTATTACAGCTTTTCAGTGAAAACAGATGAACATGTTTCTTTACATAGACCCACTTTCCCCCCCCGCCCCCCTTCATTCCATTCTTGGAGATAGATAAACCATACCCAAACAGTAAAAAATCCCACCAAAAGCTCAACAACCCGTACTCCACAAGCTGAGGTAACCACTAGAGATGTAAATGATCACTCCACCTCACAGAACTTAAAATCTGACAAAGTCATAAGCAAATGAAGCAGTTCTTTTAAGAGGTAGTGAACATAATCTTAAATCAGAAGTAACTGGCTTCATTTAGGATGTAATGAATTGTGAGCATGATTTTGTATCTCAAGGTTTTCTGAGACACATTAAATTAATTCAGATGGGTCAGCGTATAGACTTTATTTTTGTCAGATCTTGTATTTCATTCACATATACTTATTTTCACAAATACAATGTATTTATAGCCACAAAATATAGATGTGATCGCAGTTAATGCAGTATGACCCCAGCAGCAAAATCTTCTGTTGGGAATAAAAATTAATTTGCCTCATCACTGGTATTGGCAAAGAGTTACAGCAAAGGCTCATAAAGCTTTGGGTTTATATACACGCTGATATTTAACCAGAGCAAAATCATGAGCAATTTCTACTGAGTCTACATGGATTTATTAAATATGCTGCTTATTAAAGCAGCAATTGAATTATTTCTTACGAGACCTGTAGTGTCATTAGCTAAAGTTATGCTTTGATAAGCACTCACTCCAATATGTTCAGCAAGGGAAATGTTTTGAATTAAAAGAATAGAATACAAGGAACAAAGAGGACAGCAAAAAATAAAACAGGCTTATGAGCATACCAAGAAGAATGCATCCATCAGTTATTTGGAGATGCATGTATCTGTTTAAGCATCTCATGAAAATATGCATATATATAGCCCCACAGTTGAGAAGATAAGTACATGGCAAAGTAAATTGGAGTTTTAAGAGGGAAAGCTTCAGCTAATGTCTCATTTTTATGTATCTCCAAGGCTGGGGAGTTTTGCAGATATAGGAAGATGTAGGAAAAGGGAAAAAAGGACAGAAACTCATTACATTTAATAGCAATATATATAGCTAATCCATATGCATTCTATGCCACACATCGGAAAAAATGCTGTTGAAAATGACATCCCTGATTTTTCCAAATATATGTTTTTATCATAAAATACAGTTTTATTTTTAATCTCCTAAATCAGCTCATGAAATCAAGCAAGGAATGCCAAATACTTTCAAAGCTTCAAAGGTCTTGATCAGATTTTATAATTTTATAACATTTCTAGTTTAGGTTACCTCAGAAACTAATCAAGTAATAGCAAGCTCAAAAAACTTTTTGTCATAATTTCCTTAACAATTCCAGTTCCAGAAATACATTCCTCAAGACAAAGCTTTTTATGACAGGTGTCACGTCACTGCAAAAAAACCAGATTATCTTTTGATTTGCTTGCTCCTTCACACATGAACATTTAGAACACATGGCAATTACAGCCATGTAAATTGAATATGTGTAAATTAAATATGATTTAGTGTGTTTAATGGGAGTTTAGTGTACTTCACCAGCATGAACTTAGGAGAAGCCAGTTCCATTACTCTATGATAATACAACAATCTGTAAGCCAAACAGAATATACAGTTTGGAAACCTCTGCTTTACATTTATCTGACGTCTAGCAAAAGTTAGTCCGTTTGCTAAAGAAGATTCACTTGGTAACTAGGTGCAAGATCACGCATCTAAGAGCAATGAAAATGTCACACATCAAAAAGTAGAAATCACCCTTGAATTCAGTTGTACTCTCAGGAATCATAGAATGAATCGTAGAATGGTTTGGGTTGGAAGGGATCGTTAAAGATCATCTAGTTCCAACCCCCTGTCATGGTAAGGGATATTTTTCACTAAAACAGATTGCTCAAAGCCCCATCCAGCCTGACATTGAACACTTAAAGCTCAGGAAAGAATCAGGAACAACAGTATCTATACAGTTGAAACTGAGTTCCCAAACTGAAATATAAGCAGGTGAAGCACAAATGGGAATTAGCGCACATTTGAGATGCACAGTTCAAAAAAAATGAAAAATTCAAATGTGGTCAGAAAAATTCTAGACAAATGCTTATGGATCTCTTTATATAGATTGTTCAATGCAAAGTTAAGATAGGACATGATGACTTTTTCATATGTCAG